AAATGGGCCGCCAGTGATGAAAAAAGTAAAAGGAAAAAAGTCGATGTCCTTGGGACGCGCTGGGGCCTTCTTCCATACGGCGGAGTACCAAAAAGGGCTTATGGAGCAAATCAGCGTAATTAAGACTTGTATCAACTAATCGACCGTTGAAGGCTTGGTCGACATGGGGGGGTTCGATCGGGGATTGCACCCGGACCATGCTCACTGTAAAAGGCGACACATGGTATGGTCGTAGCTCAGACTTTTTAGGAGTTGTGCCTTACAGCTAGCAAGTTGAAGCCATATAAGGCTCATTTCAGGTTTCTCGACGTCATGCTCTTGCAGACATGCAGTTCTTGGCTTCTATGGACGCGGCACGAGCAGTGACTCCGCCCAATGTGGGTCAGCTGCCCGGACAACCGCATCCTGTATTGTCACATATCCTTCCACCACCGCCACCGCCAGTGCCAGCGTTTCCACCACGTACCAACGTCGCTACTGCGACGACACCATGCGGCCGAACTGCGAACTTTGGCGCCGGTGGCAGTTTGTTTGGCACTAACAGTCAGACTCGAACGCAACTACGCCCACATCCAAGTTGGCCGTTGGAACCGTCGACGTTCTTTAGAGAAAAGACGGACGAGTTCCGCACACCGAGTCCGGTCGACGCGGTCACGCTTCCAGGCGCTAAAGGTAATCAAATACGGATAACTCTTTGAAGTAGCAGGAGTCGGTCACGGGATCAAGATTGGCGCATTTTCCAGGTTCTTGGGACGAGTTGTCCACTCCAGCTCGAAGTTCGTGCGGTTACGTGTCGGGCGGTTCGACACCGTCTGGTTCATCGCCGTTCTCGACGGTGTCGTCATCGTCACTCCATCTCAATCTTACCGATGACGACCGCGACTTCGACCTCTTCAATCTGACTGTCGGATTCGACCACATTGCACAGGATCTGGCCAAGACTCTAGAACTGTGGTAGATCCGCTCGAGTCATGGAAACGTTGTGGAATGGACCTTCTTACCTTCGGTATTTGTAGGGTCCTAAGTAAAACGAGATCGTTTTGAAGTATTTGGTGGTCTGCGGTACTTTCCACTATTATAATATTCTATTACATGTGAACTTAACTGTCTTCCTCTTTTCTACTCACATCCGTCCCGGTTACAGCCCTTGCCCCCATTGACTTTGATTAACACTCCTGCATGAAAACGCTCAAGCCAGTGTTCTTTTGCAAAAAGGCTCTTTCCATCGGTCGATCCTGTCGTAATTGCTTTTGCAAAAAGGCTCTTTCCATCGGTCGATCCCTGTCGTAATTGCGGACTCAATAGTGGGGAACGGCTTTCGGAAAAATCGATAGACGTGTGCTTTCCACGCACTGTGCCGCGTGTGCTTAGCAGTATGCTGGCATCAGGTAGCGTTAAAGGCATCAGAAGCGCGCGTGATATCGATCTTTTCAAGACCGTGACTACTGAGTCCGCAATTACGGGAGGCTCGGCCGCGGGAAGTTGTATAAGTTGACCATTTATCGATAGGACATTGGCTCGAGGTTTTCGTGGGATCACACCCGACATCAAAGCCCTGCCCCCTACCTTCCATTGACGGGTAAGCGTCTTTCATTTGAGAAAAAATTGCTCCCGTTATATTTGCTCATACTTTGTTCAGAAGAGTAATTCTGTAATATTAAATAATTACCGTAGCAGTATTTTTGGAATTGTTTTCATTGTAGGCGTTCCACTATACTTATTTAATTCAGCTAGTTCTATTTATTTTTTTTACAATCTTTTTTCTCATTGAATAAGTGTTAAGCATGTTGTGGTATATGTATACCGATACTATATATATAACTAATAACTGTACATTGTGATATTATTGCTAAAGTGCTAAAATAATAACTATATATAATTAATTATAGCTTTGTACGCAGAAGACCACCTCGTTAGCGCACGAATCGAGAACAGAATATCGATTGCATGCGCGCAAAATCAATACACATCTCAAAAGTGCATGGGTTAACGAGGTGGCCAAAGTGTCAAAGCGTCTTATATACGTTGGCACGTTATCGATATGTGATAGAAGTGACATAGCATTTGAACGCTAGAAACCAGTGTGATTATCGGTCGATTTTTTCTCTATTTTGATTGCAAAAATTTTATTTTATATTCAAGATTTGGCTCCGCCCTCTCCCTTTTCTTCGTGGTCGTTGTTTGGACGCAACACACACGAAGCCTCTAATCGTCTGTCTGTTTGAATTCTCTTGGATGAGCCGTTATTATCAGATATCATTATCACATTCTAAATGACATTGTAATATCATCGTATAAGATTTCGTACGAGTCGCAGGTCCCCTCACCCCATCCATCGATCCGGCCGAAATATCGGTCACGAGAAATTTTTCCTGCAGCATGTGTGCTTGTCTATCAGTCTGTGTCAGTCAGTCTGTTTCCAATTTGTCATGTACATCACTTTGTAGAATAAAATTCTGTAAATGCTAATAATTGTAATGACAAATTGGGCAGTAAATAAAGCATAATTCTAATTGTTTTCCACATTGATTTTTTAGCTGAACTAATTCTACTGAAGGGGTCCTTTCAGGGTTTATGGTTTATGATTTATTATCGGTTATCATTAGTGAGAACACAATATCGAAAAAGAAACAGAGACAAGTCACCGATAAGTAAAAAGTCGAAACTAATGGGGTAGCAAGAGTTGAAGCTGCGGGGGAGCGGAAAGTCGGCGCAGAAGGGCAGTGACCGCCAACACTGCAAACGGAAGTGACGACATAGAACTCCGGATACCAACTAAGCTAGGTCCGCCAACCTGCCGAAATCTAACTGGTAGCGTCGCCGGCTCGAAAGGGGAATATTCTCAACACAACACGAGGAACATGAAGGTGTAAAGCCAACAAGTAAAACATAGAAGTCTCCAGATCATCACTGCTGTGCTAGTGAAGAAAAAGCAGAGATCCTCGGAATGTAGGTGCGAACAATTTAAATTATGGACGTCTCCATATCATCCTGGCTTGTTGAAGGAAAAGCAGAAAACTGGACAAAATTTCCCTATGAGTTTTTCGGTGAATAATGCAAGATGAAAGGGACGCTTGACCTGGTGAACTTCCCTTTCTAGGATCTTTATGGAACGTCACTTGGAGCGTTTCCAGCTGGAGAGGAGTTGTTAGTTACTCAGCGGCGAAACTTTCAGTCGTTAATCTGTTGACGTCATCCCCCCTCTGAAAATAGTTGCGGGTTTGGATTAGCCTTTCTCTGGTGGAGCTTCTTTCAATCTGTCCTAATAGCGCTCGAACGTGCGTTTCCCGAGTAAGACACTCTTGCAGGAGGTGCCGTCCAAGAGAAAACATTTGTGTGTTCTCAATGAGTTTGACATTGCTACGCGTGGGAGAGCATATCCAATCGAGGAAAGCGTTCGTAGCGATGAGACTAAATGAGAACAAAAAGCTATGAATTAGGAGTTTTGTACTGTTTGATAGGGAGAAGGGTGCCAAAGTGATGTGTATGGACCGCGATGTGCTAAGTTGAATCTCTTTGATAACGATGGCATACAATGAGCGAGAGATGACAGGCAATGAGGTTGATTCGTAGTTCGGATCAGCTCACTGTTCGTTGACTATGAATTTGGAGAAATCGGCCAAGGAGTTTTCGATCGACATTGGCAAACGCTTTATCTTTGTCACAGAAATAGTGAATTGCCCATCTTCGAAGCCCAGCTTGACGCTCAGAGAACACCTTGACTGTAACACAAAGGTGTTGATCAAAGCATAATCTTCGGGCATCTGCGCTACATCGAGCAAGGTATACCGAAAGGAAGAACGGTGGACAGATCATCAATGGGCGCTATCGCGATGTACGGTGGCATAGTGATGGAATCGCATTTAAAACTGCGTAAAACATTAAGTATTTTTTTCAAAAAGTAGGACTAAGCCTCAAGCTTAGACGTGAGAGAGAGGCTCAAGGTTGCACCCGTGACAGCCACGACTAATCATCAATCATCTACTCCCGAGCTCCTGCCTCTTCTGGGGTCGGTCTAGGGGATACAGTATACTGCGATAGCGCCCATTAATGAACGATGAACATTAAGTGGTATTTTGGAACTTACGCATTGTGAGAAGTAAATCTGAATTTACTGAAATTTGAAACGATATCAAATATATAACCCTCTTCAAGTGGCGTATATGTTTTTCTAGGCATTTTTCAATAAGTATTTATTGATATTATTGAAAATTAATGCGAAATTGCGAGGATTGATTAGCGATGAAAATTCCCAATGAAAGTGAGCTTCTGCAATTCCCAGCGCCATAACTTCCCTCAAATTCATCACATTTGGAAAGTAACACAACATTGCAACTTAAAATGCTTGCTCTATTCAATGGTTGTTAGAGTATAAAACTCGATTCATTCAGTATTTCAAAAGGGCTCGTTTAGGATTTTAGCCGTAGTACGCCTTAGAAGGTCTCCCGTCGGCCTGTGGGGGTATTTCCTAAAGCACCTTGCTGATTCGCACGGGGTAATTAATGATGTTCGCGTTTGAAAGCGCTAGCTTTATGGTTTGAAAGCGTGTAATTTCTACAGGGTGTCCAAATCTAAAGACCAACAATTTGTTGTAATTACTAACGAATGTTAGAGGTTGGATGAACAAACTAACTCCGAGGAATGTGGTTTTGTAACTCTTTATCTCAAAGCGAAGGGAATCCGAATTAGAATCAGATATGCCACTGCGCGGTTACACGAGCTTAGATGAAGGCGTGATGATCGCGTGCTGTGGCACGACCCCCCCCCCCCCCCGTACTGAGGGGTGTCAAAATCTTTCCATGTTTCTGTGCTGCTTTTTTTAGGAGATCAAAGTTTGGTGGGAGTTTTATTTGCCCTTGCCTTCACAGTATGTAAAACACAGAAATCGAGAGCTGTTAGGTTTAAAGTTCCATTGTAACAATCCTTCGAAAGAAACGAACTCGAGAAACCGCTTTTTAGAGAATTTTTGCTCTATTCTTGAGTGCTCGGTCTGTTTGAAGTCCAAGTGTGAGTGGAGTGGTTTCACATGCCACTGGAGATGTGGAGTCTTTAGAGTGTCTGGCTGGGTTTTCACATCAATTTTTTCATTTTGGGAGTACGAAAGTCGACAAGGGGAGACCTAGTTTCTGCATCTGATAATTATCCTGGTGGTAACTGTAACTTTCGAGTCCCCGAATTTTCCATCTGTGGTGATTCCAAACTTATTGAAGAGTTGAACTGTTGCTCATAAGAGCTTCTCTGATAGGTTAGACTGCTGCTAGATGTAACGTGCCAGAGCCCCTAGTGAGTTCAATTTGAGGACTGACTCAAGTGTGATATTGTTACTTCACTAGTTTTGAGAACTTCATGAAATTTGGTTTCATTAGGAAGAAGACATTGTACCCTTTCACATAGTGCACAGAAAACGAGATGAAAATGGAGCGATACGGAAAAAAGTGGATATGACTGCGCGCGCACGCGGTCCTCATAATTTTGGACCACCCTGTACAAAAGCATATGTCAGAAAGTTGAAGGCGTGTTAGGATTAGAGGCAGCCTATCAGAATTCAGGGGTCAAAATGAGATATAGATATAGGTGTAAGATGGTAAGGAAAGCGTTTTGAAACAGCCAGATCTAGAGGACCCCTGTCTTGGGGAGCGACTCTTGACGGGTGCGCACGCCCTTCCCCTCTTCTGACAGATGAAATTTGTTGATGCGGTGAGTGGTGGAGGATCTTCCACGGAAAAAGGCTCCGCCTCATTACCACAGAAAACGATACCTTAAAGGAATCTTCCACGGAAAGAGTGATCATTTTGTCTTGTGTGTTAGGATTAGTATTATCGAAACTAACGCTTATGTGTCCGTTCTCTTTGCTAGTGCTCATCGAGGCGCAGGGTACCTAGTGGATGGTAGTAGTGGTTTATATGGCTATGGATCGAGATAGAGCTTTTTCGACGGAAGGTTCCTGTGCGCCGATGC